GGTTTCCGGGCGTCGCTTTGCGAACCCGACTAGCTATACCCACCGGGTCCCGCTGTTTCAAGGCGGGTCCACCACGGTTAGTTCCACGGGGCCCTGGAGACACGGCCGGTTTGTAATGCCTCCAGTGGCCCTGCTGGGGCTCGAACCGGCGACCTGAAGGACTTTGTCCCAGGCCTTTACCAGCTGAGCTACCCCTCAGGGTTTATTAATTTATGTTGCACCTTTAATTTGACATTCTTTTGAAGCAGAATAAAAATAAAAATGTCACACAAATTAGAATGATGATCATTAAAGTTGACACCTTGAATACATACGCAAACCCTTCATGTGCCTGGAAAGATGATCATTAACGTCGACATTACTAATACATACGAATTTGACTAAACTCAATATTCATTTTGCAAATTCAATCACTAATGTAAATATTAGTAGTATTTATTAGGGAAAAGGGTCTGAAATATATTCAAATTTTGATCGAAATTGATGTTACGATACCAAACTTTGGAAATGACTTTTTGCCCCTGTACTATTTAATAGTGTATTTTAAAGGTATATATGTATCCATGTGGACATAAAAAATATTGCATAATTATAAATAATAATGTGTCCACGTGGACACATATATACCTTTAAAATACACTATAAAATAGTTCAGGGGGTAAAAGGTCTTCCATAAAGTTTGATATCGTAATAACAATTTCGATCAAAATTGAAATATTTTTCAAACCCTTTTTCCTATTTATTAAAAAGTAACTAGAAAAAATTATATTTTTAAATTCGTAAATTTCAAATTCTGATTATTTTACCGGCAACTTCTCCCGCGGGTTTCCCACGGATTTTGACCCATTAAATTTATTATACGTTGGAACACTATCTTTACCTTATTTTCAATATATAAATAATATATAGTAATCAATATTCCTTGCGTTTATTTATATCTATGATACTATTTTTTAAAAGATAAATAAATTATGACCATTGAAGACTCATTTAATTCTAAGAATCAAATTATAGAATCTTATATTTGAATGAGTGATACTTCTTTATGGTCCAATATTTCTTTTGTTCATTTACTAGTAAGATACCAATTTTTCTATAATTTTTAATAGTAATAGATTAAGAACATTTCAATAGAGTGAAGATATTTAATAAATAGACGTTATATATTGAAATATAAATAAGGATTCAGTATTCAAAAGAATTCTTTATAAGATGAGTACTTTCATTCGTAATTACATATCGTCCTTATTAAAAATAGATGTTATCATTTCACAAAATTAATGCATAAATGTCACTACTCTTTCTATTTTACCTTTGAGAGCTATTAGCCTTGAAAATATACTTATATTTGACCAATACAAAAAAACTAAGTAATTTTCATTGATCAACTTAACTAATTTGTTTATTTATTGAAAACTTGACTTTAACGAAATATTAAATAAGAGTATAATAACAATTTCACCTAATTTCTTAGAGAACGTTAGATCTAAAATAATAATAACTAAATAGAAACGGAAAAAATACTTTATGAAATATCCTTACGTATTCTATCGTGCGTATTAACCAAGAGATGAAGGAGTGGAGGGGAGTGATAAGTGGGTGAAATGTGGGGAAGGTAATTGTAATAATTGTGAACTTTCACGTCTCCCTTATTTTGTGGGTTATTATGTGAATGAGAAGGAAGATGGTGCAGTAATTTCTTGCGCTTTTCAATGCAAATTAAAAGAAGAAGAAAGAAGGTGTGTGTGTGTCAATCACAAAACACAATCATTGCCTATATTGTCACTTCTAAATACATCAACTACCAACTACACCCTCCGTCCCATTTTATGTGAGGTAGTTTGACTCGACACGAAGTTTAAAAATGAAAAGAAGACTTTTAAAATTTGTGGTCCAAAATGAATGATATAAATTTGTGGCTGTAAATCATTTCATTAAGAGTAAAATAGACATTTTATAGTTAAATTGTTACTTAATATATAAATATGTCATTCTTTTTGGGACTGACCAATAAGAAAATTAAGTCACATAAATTGGGACAGAGGGAGTAGCATTTAAGCATATTTTTGGTACCAAAATATTTTCATATTTTTTTAAAACTTATTTTAATTATATTTTATGAGTAAACGAGGTTTAAGGTGACAGAGATGAGATGATCAAAGAGATTAGGATAGAATGTAGGACGGAGACGATGAACTTATTTTACTAGAGGTTATATTTTTTAATTTTTTTTTATTTACCAAACATGCGATAATTGATGAATTCTGAATGCCAACATACTCTTAGAGATCATTTGGCTTATGAAACAAAGTTACTCCGAGATTATATATAATTCTAGAATTATAATCCTCGGAGGCTATGACTAGTATCCCATATATGAGAGACGAAATAAAATAATATCAAGTTGAATGAAATAAGATCTAATAGATAAGACTCAAAATTATATTATGATTCTAAAATGTATTTTCTAAAAATAAATAAAATATTATTAACTTACTTTTCATATTTGACGGGTAAGCGGGGTTCAAGGTTACCGAAATGAGATGATCAAGAGATTGTTCTAGAAAGTAGGACGGAAACAATGAAACTTATTTTTTTAAAATTGTTTTTCTAGTTAAAAATATTTTTAAAAACTTATAGATTAACTAAACATGAGATAATTAAAAACAAATTGATGCCAGACACACTCTAAGCGATCATTTGGTTCATGAAACAAAGTTATAACACCAAGGTTATATATAGTTCTAGAATTATAATTCAAGGAGGTGAGGACTAATATCCTATAAGATATGAAATAAAATATCAAATTGAATGAAATAAGGTAGTATAATCTATCGGATTCAAAATTATGTTTTTTGGTTGAACTATAAATTTATTCTAAACTTATCAAATAAAATATAATTTTAAACTTTTTATCTTATTTCACTCTATATTTGAGACTCATGAGAAAACGACTCCTTTTACCTTAAATATCTATTGTGAGCGTTAGATTAATTTGGATTTGTATTAGAAATTTTGATATTTAATTATGATAAAATATTTTTTATTAAAGGGAAAAAGATAAAATATACCTCGAATTATCGTAAATAGTATGCAGATATGGTATCCCTGTCGTCTAAAAACTAGAGCAAATATACCCTTTATACTAACAGACATACACCGATCATCATCTTATCCATCGATCCGACATTTATTAAATATCAGATCGACGGATAAGATTGCGCCACGTGTCCCTATTTAGTCTCCCGTTAGAGTGAAGGGCATATATGCTCTAGTTTTTGGACGGCAGGACACCAATGTCCCAACAATATGACAGAGGGTATCTGCATACCATTTACGATAGTTCGGAAGTATATTTGTCATTTTTCCCTTTATTAAAAGCAACTTCATAATTAAAAATTTAAATGCGTGACCTTTTATTATACCAAACATTTTTTTAATTATTGTTACACCAAACTACCCTATAATTTACCAAGAGGAATCAATAAAAATAATTAAATAATGTTGAATGAATTAATTTTATAATCCAACAAGATTAAGCAATTGACGCGGCCGTATATGGTTCACATGTGAGCTGCATGCTAATTAGAAAATAAAAAAGATTAAATAATTAAAATTATGCTTATTAAGTGCTAATTATTTTTAATACTAGTTGTATGTAGTAAACTCTTCACTAATATATATTTTGTTTAACTAAATCAGCATGTTAAAATGGGCAATTTTAAGAAAGAACCAGCTACGTAAGTGGTAACGTCATAAGACAAATTATGAGTTTATAAAGTACCCCATTAATGTTTGTATAAAGAAAATAATTATATATATCGATAAAATATTTAGTTTCAATAAAGGTAGATTCATGTACATTTAATAGTTTTTCTTAAACTTTAATATATGTATTAATAAATCAATTGAATATATGTAAATATTTCTAATTATTAACGTATTTTATTAATTTTTGAATCCGGTTTTGATTTTCACATTATAACTAACATTCTAAGATAATTTTTGGATCTTTTTGATGGGCACACATGTATTTTGATATCTAGAAGGTCAAATCTTTAGTCTTAAATTTAATTAAAAGAAGATCAACTAAGAAAGGGGGAAAAAGATTATGGTTCATAAAATATTTTTCTCATTAAAGTTAATAAAAATGGAGATTATCCTGTATATTTTAAAATGTTTAAACTGGTCAATTGCTTGGTTAAGAAGGTTAAGATAAAGACAAAAAGAATATCCTAATTGATTCCATCAACATAGACATACTTATAAACAACCTTTTTAAGTAGCTTTTTATGCTTAGGTACGAAATACTTTTCGTTTTAATTTATTTATCTGATTTAAATTTATTACTATTAAATATTAAAGTATAGTAATATTTTTAAAATTTTATAGTTCTAAACTAAAGAAATATAAAAGGTATGAAATTGCTTTTTAGTTTTATGATAAAAAATATCTGTGGAAAAAGTTAAATTAAATAATTATTAAAAAGTAAAAATATAATTCTTTTTTAACGGATTAAAAAGATTTTAAATAGAAAAGTATGAAATAAACTTGTGTATGACCTTGTTCAAATTATCAACATAAATACAAATAAAAAAATCAAAGATATGCGAATTAATCAGAAACAATTTTCTACCCATAAAAGTGAGAAAATGCTGAGGCGCCATATCTTTTCTAGACTCTATTTATAGAATAATATTTAATTTATTGTTATGGTATGTATATAAATTCATTAAATAAAAATTAATTAGAAATACAAAATTTAATCAGAAACAATCTTTCTATTTTTCTACTAATAAAAGTAAGATTAAGACCGAGGTGTCGACATCTTTTTCAGAGTCCATTTTTAAAATTATATTTAATTTTGACATTATGGTATGTAATTTACAATCATTAAATAAAAATTAGTAAATCTTTTTTTTTCTTCTTAAATTACCCCTTAATAGCTAACCAAAGGGTCTATAAATAAAGTAGTCATATTTTCATGAAAAGGCCAAAAAGTGGAGTTGCAACTTCTTCCTCTTCTCATTCCCTTTTGTTTTTCTTCCATACTTCCCTTTTGGTCTCATTTGGTAAAACATAGTTTAAATTATAACAAAAAAAAATGGAGAAAGTTGAAAGTTCAAAGTTTAATAGAATTTGTGTGTTTTGTGGTAGCAGCTCTGGGAAAAAAACTAGTTATCAAGAAGCTGCTATTGATTTAGGCAAAGAACTGGTAACTATTTTAAACCCCTTTGTTTTTTTTTTTCATTTTTTTTTTTTCAAGAATCAGAAAGTTTTGTGCTTTTTATGAAAAAGATATGATTTTTAAGCTTGTTTCCATGAGAAGGCAAAAAGTTTGTACTTTTCATTGAAAAATATGATTTTTTTGAAGCCCCTTTTATGTATCTTTTCAGTTTTTATGTTTTTTTTCTCACTTGTTAGGTAGCTGTATCAGAGTTCGACTATTTTGAATTCGTAAGTGACCCCATTTGGGGTAAAAGTGCTCTTTACTAAAGATTTTTTCATATTTAGGGCTCGAAATCCGATAACTCTGCTAGAGGTCTACACCATATCATTTGGTGGTGTATGTGTCCAACTTCTTAACATAAGATCTTTATAATGTTCATAAGAAAACTAAAATCAAGAACCCATTTGTAAGTTGTTTTTCATTTTGGTACTATTCTTTTTTCTTGTTTAGTTGATTTTCACATTTACTTTGCTCAAAGAACCAAACTTTTTCAAGTTTGGTATATGATTGTGATGGAAAATAAGAAGGAAAATCCTTATGTTTGGCATGAGTAAGAGAAGTAAAGAATGGTATTTTTGTGTTTAGATTTTTTGTTTTTTGCTAGCTGTAGCCTGCCTGTAATTAGTTGAGCAGTGTTCTTGCATGATCTAATTAAATTTTGTAAAAATTTCAGTTCTTGAAATTTTTTTCATGTTTTTTCATAGGGAACAGAACGTGCCACCTTGTTATCATGACATTTTGCAACTGTGTTTAAATTTTGATTAGTCCTTATGAATATATGCACATGCATAAGAAAATATTATAAATACCACTCTGGCACGTCTCTATAACATGGATTTTATATTGAGTATAATAATGTTTATTTCTTGTTAATGATTGCATGTTTTGCTAATATGTTAAGTTTTGGAGAAATTGAGGAGTAGTAGCTAAGTTGCTCGGACTCTCCAAAAAAAATGTTGTTGCACCCGTATCGGATCATCCAAAAATTCCCTACTTTTGAAGGATCCGACACGCACCTAATGACTTTTTCGAAGAGTCCGAGCAAAACATAGAGTAGTAATTTATTTTCTTGGATATATGATGATAGTTTTGTTAATGATTTTGATGTGTGTGTGTTGATGAAGGTGGAGAGGAGGATTGATTTAGTGTATGGAGGTGGAAGTGTGGGGTTGATGGGACTTGTTTCTCAGGCTGTTCATGATGGCGGGCGCCATGTTCTAGGGTAAGCGTTTTGCTTTCTACGTTTTAATTTGTTTGTTTGGGTTTGACTTGACGCGGTATATAAGAAAGTAAAGAAAAATTTGAATCTTGAGGTCTTAAGCTAAATGAAAACTAGAAAAGTAAGGCAAACAAATTGAAGCGGAGGGACTAGCTTCTGCTATAGTTATTTTGTCATTGAGTTTAACTTCTATAAACATACATTAAGGGCTGTAAATGAATTCTATGAACTATTCCATCCGACGGGCCTGGTCTATCATATTGCTTGGACTATTTTCGCTCCTGTGTCGGATCCTCCAAGTATGTACTGTTTACGGAGGATTTGACATGTAACTGTCAAGACATTTTTGATTAGTCCGAGCAACATACCGTGTTAGGTTGTTTTCATTTATCTGTAGTGTTTTAAAGTTCAGATCTTTGAACCTTGAAAGTATCTCAGTTCTCAATGAAATGGCTTTCATGAGGACTACCTAAAGGCAGACATCATGGGATCAAATGTTTTTTTTATTTACTGTTGTTGTCTGTACATCTCTCTTTTTGACACACTCAATGGGTCATTTTCTGAACAAACAAATAATTACTATACATATAAATAGAAATTTCGTATTGAACACATATGTTGCTCGGACTCTTCAGAAATGCAGATGAGTGCATGTTGGATTCTCCAAAAGTAATGCATTTTTGGAGGATCCAACACTGGTGCATCAATATTTTTCGAGTGTCCGATCAACACTAACAACACTAAACGGTTATTAGTGTGCTACTATACATTTTATCAGTTTTGCTGTTTTTTAATTCTGGGTTTTCTATTGCAGGGTGATTCCGAAGACTCTCATGCCTAGAGAGGTACTATTCACTACAAACTTTGAAATCGTTTTTTACAGAGTTAATTTCATGCTAAATTTATTATATGGCACTGAATGTTGTAACAGTTAACTGGAGAAACTATTGGAGAATTGAGAGAAGTGTCCGGTATGCATCAAAGGAAAGCTGAAATGGCCCGCCAAGCTGATGCTTTCATTGCCCTCCCTGGTAAATCATCAAAATTTATGCCTTTCCCCTTATTTGTTGTTGCTGCATTGTTCGTGTCGTATACTTTTGTGACATCAGTTTATTTTTTATTAATGAATCGTCGTTGTGCTTTATTTTTTAGGTGGCTATGGTACTCTTGAAGAACTTCTCGAAGTCATCACATGGGCTCAGCTTGGAATCCATCAGAAACCAGTAAGCATTCTACATTTTTGTTCAGATTACTTTACATTACATTACATTTAGTAGTGGTGGTAGGTCTTGACTAATTTATAGTCTAAATGAAACCATTCCAATGGAAGCACCTATAATTAAGCGTATACTCAAGTAAAAAGTACGATAAATTAGTATTTAATGACGCAAAGTTTGACACAAAATGTGTTCCCTTGGAATGCAAAGAAATCAGTGAATAGATGTATTCTTTCTGGTGAAGATAGTTATTGCTTGAATTTTTAACCTTTTAACTGGATGTCATCATTCTCCGAAAACCTATAGGTGACTTTAGTTTTGCAAAACACTCGTCTAGTCAAAAATGTTGCTTGAACTCTTCAAAAATGTTGTCGCACCACCATTTTGCCCTTTCTAACTGATTTCGACTTGTGTTGCCTTTTTTACGACATAGCTTATTTTAAAGTGTCCTAAAGAACTATTCCTGCATTCAAGTCAACAATATATAAATGAAACGAAAAAAGGTATCGAAGCACATGATGTTTTGTTCACATGGAAAGATTATACAAGAGATTTGCACGTCCTAATCATCGTCATTCTTCATAATCCTGTTTGAATGGCAAGAAAGTGCTTCTTAAGCATTAGAATAATGATTCTTTTTGTCTGTAATGTAATGTAATGTAGACCGTTTCATCGTTGATATTAATATAATCTAATGATGCAGGTGGGGCTGTTGAATGTTGAGGGTTACTATAATTCGTTGTTGTCTTTCATCGATAAGGCTGTTGATGAAGGCTTTATCTCTCCAATTGCACGTCGTATAATCGTGTCTGCTCCAACAGCCAAAGAGTTGATCAGAGAACTTGAGGTATGCATATATTCACATTGTTTATACTCACTTTTCTGCATACTATATAGTTTTATTTAGTTAAATAAAACATTGTAAGTTCAAGTTGTATTTGTTTTGTCAATGTAACAAATATAAAACTAGTTTAGCTTCTTTGTAAACTTGAACCACTAACTTGCTATATAATATTTGGCAAAATGATCACTGAAAACTTCCCTTATTATTATTATTATTATTATTATTTAATATCATAACTTTGATTAAACGACAACAACAACATACCTAGTATATTCCACGGGACCATATACTTTTGTTGATACTTGTTTTTTTTCTTTTTCCCGTTTTGTTACAGGAACATGTTCCAGAAAAGGATGAAATAATATCGAAGTTGATATGGGAGGATGAAATTCAAAGATACAATTATACACCTGAATCCAGTGTTCCTACATAAAAAAAAATGTCTCTTTTATATTAGAGCATATGGTTTTGGGATTTAGAAATTTCAGTATACAAGTATGGAAGGGGGGAAAAAAATATAGCATCAGTTTTTGTGGAATTGTGGATGTCCATATAGCTTAGGGCATTATGCTTTAAAGAATATTAGTTTTTGTGGATCTGATGAAGGTTCATTTTGTTCAAGGCATTATGCTTTTGTGTATGTTTACCAAGTAGTATATTATTATATATATATGTGCTTTTTAGTTGCTTCGATGGTTGAGTATTTGAACTTTTACCTTGATATATTTATTTTTCTTTCGTTGTTACGATGAGCAATGCCTGATTGAATCATTAATGATTTTTATTATTTATAAATACATACTGAGAGCTTGTATAAGATGAGGTCCATTATATGGAGTTTGATACTTAGATTACAAAACAGACAAATAAAATCTATTTCATAATTAGTTTAGTATGAAATTATAATTATTGTTACATTATAATTGTTTGGTGGCTATATGATCAATTCTTGAATTATCTTTGATTAATAGAAAGTTATTGGTTGTAAACCATTTCAATTTTAAAATAGTTGACTCCAAAATATGTGGAATCTTTCAATAGAAATATGATCTAATCAATCGAAGGTTGTTTTTAATCCTATTAATTATTCTCATAAAAATATTTTTTATAACATGTGGTTCTAGACCAAGTCGTAGTTGAATTATGTTCGTTATAGTATGTTTTCGCTATGAGCAGATGACATAGAAAGTATAGTAGACTCTTCTTGTTGATGACTCAAGGTTATAATCATCTTTGTTCGAGAAATGCACATTGAAAAGAAATATCATATATTAATATGGTACACGCTTAACAAGGCATATCATAGATTCACATGATACGTGCACTTTTGATTTGATAATAGCGTGACCCAAGGGACAAATCCGCAAGATCTGTTGGGCCAAAGTAAAGCTTGGATTGTGACATTAGGCAAAATACATGAGTGTACATATTTATTCTCAAAAAAATGCCAAAACTCAACTAGTACCTTAAAAAAATGTTGCAGAAAAGTGTTCTCTCCAGCTTCTGTAAACAACAAATTAGATAAAAAGCAATCTAATTCATCTCCTTATATGGATGCAAAGTACTCTTTGCTGCCCTTGGGGTCAGGCTTCATGGATTTCTCCCCGGGCTTCCATCCGGCTGGGCACACCTCGTCTGGGTTCTCCTGAACGTATTGCAACGCCTGTTTTTCCACACCCAAAGCAATTATAAGCAAATCATACGAGGCTGATATGTGTACGGGCAAAAGCCTAAATACAATGGTCGATTTATACCTGAAGAGTTCTCAATGTTTCATCGACGCTTCTACCAATTCCAAGATTGTTAATGGTTGAATGTTGAATAACTCCTTCCTTGTCAATGATGAAAAGTCCTCTCAATGCAATCCCCTGAAAAAACACACCAGAAAAATCGTAGGAAGCTGATTTCATTTAGCACCAGAATGTGTAAACATGATCTCAAATGAAGCACATTGTTTCCTCCCTTTTTGGGGAGATAGAACCAATTATGAGAGACTCTCGGAATGACATACCTGATCAGGGATCAGTACATTGTATGATTTTGAAATTGACTTGGTTACGTCAGAAATTAATGGATAATTCAGATCACCTAGACCACCAGACTTTCTCTCAGTTTGGACCCATGCAAGGTGGGAGAACTGCAAGAGCAACAGCATGAAATTAATAATAAAAGATCAAACAGGTACTCAAGAGACTAGCGACAAAAATCATTGGATATTACGATTTGAATAATTGCAAATAAGTCCATAACCGAGGCACCACAATATTATCATCTACTCCGAAAAGAACCTTCACACTATTTCTTGTCAAACAGATCTTTGGAGTGTATATAAATTTCATTGTACAAGAGTTTCTCATAAGTCATAAGCTATTTCAGTGACTGCCGCAGAAGAAGTGGAAAAGGTTAAAGAAAATTCAACCACTCCACAATAACATCCCTTCAGTCTAAAGATTAAGATGTTAGAAAGTTGAACCCAACAAGCAGCAGTCAAGGGTTCCACTCTGAGCAATGGTCGTGCTTGGCCAAGGGTTTTTCTAACCAAGCATACATGACTCCTCTCCGGGTAAGCTAATCCGAACTTCAAGGAATTGAGCCAAACAAAGCTTGAATCCAAAGAGTTGAACTACAAACCTGGCTCGGTGCGTCCCTACTTAAATAAAATATTATGTCACTAACAAATTATGAGTTAAATTGAACTGTTTGCCAATTATTACTAAATAGTTTTCTTCTTTTAAAGGAAAAAATTCTTCCTTTATATCCGGAAAAGAGATTCTTTCACCAAATATCACTATATCTTTCTCAAAGTAACAAATTTTGTTTTAACATTGCCTTGATCCACCCCTGCCTAACCTAAACCCACCCTCTCATCCATGTAAAGCGAAAGAAAAAGTGATGAGGAACCCTTGCTCATGTGAGTCAAGTCATGTCTATACAGATAAACTAGATATTAAAGGCTTCTGCTTAAAGCCTTACATCGCAAAGATACACAGAGTTGCAAACAAATGAAAGAGGCATACTAGTTAGCAGCACAACATCACAAAACCCTTACGTCCACGCCCCAATCGTCCCCCCAGTGGAATACGTGCATCTAAAGGATCTTACAAACCAATTAGGTAAAACTAACCCTTTTATAGGAAAATTGAAGAAATAACAATTAAACTATCACATTATACTAGTAAGCATATGAAGTGCACAAACTGAAAGAACTGAGCATAAACATACAAGTTGATGAATTTATAACTTCATAATAGAAATTTGAAGGAAAGAATACTCACCACACTGTCTACAGAAACACCCAATATTTCTGTGTTCACCTTTTCAAATTCTTCATAACGGTCACTGAAAGCAGTGATCTCTACAGTAACAGAAAAAGATATTACATTAAAACAACACATTTCGCAACCTAAATAGTTAGGGAAAACTAATGCGAATAATCTGAAATTGGCAGCAGAGAAATTTCAGGGACAAACCAACCTGTAGGGCAAACAAATGTGAAGTCTAGCGGGTAGAAAAAGAGAATCACGTATTTCTTCCCGATGTACTCGGACAATTTAACCTGGATAAAAAAGGATTATTGTAATTGCAAACAGCAGATACAATCCATAAAATTCAATTAAATGTGCAAATGTCAAATAGTTCCTAAACGGGTCCGGAAGTGAAGTAAGAACCTAAGCCATATTATCTCAAACTTCATATAACTTAAGATGAGTAGGAAACATTGCTTATTGAGGTGGTACTACACTCTGTTCTTACTATGTCCTCATTTCCATCACCAACTGCAACCAGATGGGTTAGCCAACAATGTACACTCCCTCAAGATTTCTAATTTACCAATAGTGGTTATTCTTAGCCGACAAGGTAGTGCAACTTAGCTGACACAGAGTATTTTAGAATTGAGATTTGATTGATTACCGAATGTTTATTTTTTTGGCTTATTAGAGGAACACCTCACTGGATACTTAGGCTTGCAACACTAACTTCCTATGTGGTTTTAAATATTACGTTGACATCCCTTACTCTGCATTCTTGCAACAAAACTCTAGAAAATAGCAACTAGTGAGCCAGATAAAACAGTAGGAAAAGAGACGAAACTACTCTTATTTAAACATATTCATATTTCATGCAGGAACTTTCACCTTTAAACCATAGATCTGTTGTTTTTATGATTTTAAAGAAAATTAAAGCAGAACTGGGAGGGGGAAAAACAATATAAAACCAAGTTGTTAATGAGTGATAATATCAAATATTATGATTTTATTGTAAAGAGTCATAAGTTAAATCTTTATACAGAAAGATAAATATATCATTCATGTTTTGGAATCTAAAATTAAGCAACACTTTTTGAATGGAATTAAGCATTTTTCACCAATTACAGGTAAGTAATAATAACATAAATATATTACCTTGATGAATTCTTGATCAAAAACAGCTTCAGCCTCAAAGTCTGGTGCTTGATTTCCAACAAGTGGGAGTTCACTCTATATATGAAAACATATATGAAACAACATTAGATAGCTGAATCCTGATCTAAAAAGAAGCACAACCACCACAGAGAATCTTGAAATAAAAGAAAGGGTAAGTTCTTGGGACGATTGAGAACTCGAGAAAATTTTTCCTTTTATTTTTACTTGGTCTTCTTATGCAACTTTTGGTTTCTCTACAGAAACTAAGTTGACTGGTTTATCCATAGTCTAATATCTACATGATAGTCATGCCCAATACTTCTTGTCCTTTACATTGGGTGGTCATTAGTTCTAACTAAAACCACTATTATGAAGCACACAACATACCATAATAGTTAATCCTAGATATGAACTCCAGTTTACCACTCTACCAGTACCAACTTAGATACAAGTGAACATATAAATTTTAATTCACATTCCCCCAAGACCAGTCCATAAATACAATTTGCATTGCCTTACAATTCAAAGTATAAAGTATGCTAAAAACAATGCTTAAGCCTGAAAGCCTCACGCCAATGTACACTGTGTCTTCCGTTCAAAACTCCTATAAAGCAAAGATTAATAGATAAAAGTTCAAACTACCACATTGAGCTTCCAAATTCAAGTGCAAAACACAAATGCAGTAATAAGAAAATGAGGATTGTTTCACAAATGGATGTTGTAAATTGAATAGACAAGTGTTTCTTTTAATTACATAGGGGCCAGGGGAAGGGGGAAATTGGTGACGGCATTATAATGTGGGGAATCGAACCCCCAACTAACCAACCGAACTACTAAGATTCCCGACAAGTGTTTCCTTCAAAAAGTGGGTAAAGAAAGAAACTTTCCCCAGAATTAAAGTAAACCCTTTTTCCAAAAACATTCATAGTTTCAGAAAATCAACTCAAAATGCGATAAAACCAAGCAAAAAAAAGGGGGTCCAAGAAAAACTTACAGAGGCACAGACAGCAAAGCGACGGCGTTCTGATTGAGCAACA